ATATTCGTCATCAAATTGGTTCGGTTTCCAGGGCCGCACAAATTGAAGCTGTCTTTTGCTTCCAGACATTCGCTCGGTTCACGGGGCTCTGCTGGAATGTGGGAGTTTTCGCGGTTTGTGCGGCGCCCAAGGTCTTACATGTCAGTCTTCTGTCTTTATTTTGTAAGCAGACGACGTGACTTGCTGGTTGAAAACTGAGGCACTTCGAAACTATGTGAAGGTTGTGGGCTATTCATTTATAACTTCTGGACATCGCACCGGATCAACCTTGTTTACCGACGTGATCGTAAAAATCAAGTCTGTTATATTGTCTTTTGTTGGAGGAATTTAATAATAAAATAAGCTATTCCTGTTACTGCCGACCACAGAGAAGAGGCTATCGGTCGTTCTACAGCTCATAAAATTCATCGAACCGCCTCGCTCAGTGAACGACATAGTATTGTATATTGAATGATAGATCACTCGAACTCAGCCAGCATGATCTTCCTACTGCAAATCATTGTCTTTTTGCTCTTGAAACAAACAAAAATGTCGCCAAAAATAATCACCTTCCGAATTCTTTCTGGGAATTATTTAGCTGTATGTGACGGACATTGCATGTTTATTGTTTTTCATCGAAATGCGAGCAAAAGTGCAGATGAAAACAGCTGTCAGGTCAGTTCGTCTATTTCAGAATGCCACGCGGGACGACTAACCCGCGCGCACGAAACACATGCGGAGCAGTTAAATGGCCAGGTGCACGCATACTGCCCCGACACCGTGCGCCGCCGCCGAGCGGACCACGCCCATTAAAACCGTGCGAAATTCATGCCTATTTTTAAGTTTGCTGCAAATTGTTAAGATTCGCTCAGTTAACTTTGTTTTAAAATGAGCAACAAAAGCACCAGTCGACTTTTCATAACTGAATACGAAATACCCTTTATAAACGTCTCGACGCAATTCAATCTGGTGCAAACATTCACACACTTTACCATTCCAGCTTGTGCAACAATCGTCACACAGCGCGCCTCGGAGCTGCTTCAGATTCTCAGCTGGGCGATGTGAAATCACGCCGCTCCCTCGGACAGATCACACGGTGCGTGCGCCGTAACGGCGTCGTTAGGCCGTGCTGGTCAGCGCTCCGACCTTGGAGTGCGGGGTGTGGCGCAGCCGGCGCAGCACCCATGGAGGCAGTTCGAAGGCGCTCTGCCCGTGCTGGAGGCGGGTGGGAGGGCGCGGCGCAGCGTCGGCTAACGATGGGCAGAGGGGATACTAACAGACCGAGGCAGAGGCAGGGGAGTGTGAGTCGCATGTCCAAACAGACCACATCAAGCTAATATTTGTATGACGTCAGACTAATAATTAAATGATGCCATGATGATGATGATGATGACGATGGTGGTAGTGTTTTGATAGTGATGATGATTGTAGTCTACGTAAAGCCTATAGCAGAAGCGGCGTTAGGCATTGTGGTCATATCATGTCAAGAAGAAGGAATAGGGGAGAGTGGGGTAATTTGGCCGGTGGTGTAAATTGGCCGCCCCCACCTGTACGAAAGCTGATAAAAGTGAATGAAATAACTTTAGTCTCTATTCATTTGTCATCGGCAGAACTAACTCGAGAACAAATGTCAAAACTTTCCCCCTCTTAGTTTTATTCAAAATTAATAAAACGTGAATTTCGTTAGAAAATGGTAACTTTCACTTTCGTTCAAAAATTTGTATAACATGTAGTATTTGGGCTGTAAACGAATTCCAACATTATAGCGCCATTCTTGAGCGTGTTCAGCGGTTCCAAGAGCAATTTCATCTAGTTCTGTACAGCCATAACGACTTTATAGACAAAAATTTTCAGAATGGCAATGTGGGGTTATTTGGCCGGGACTAGCGGCGCAACTTGGCCGGTGCGCTCAGAGTCACTATGCTGGGACAGCCGAGTTGTCATGGTCAATTATACCATAAAGGACATAATTCATGACCAACTTTGACTACCTTGATGCCATATTTCCTATTGGACAACTGTAAGGGCATGTGACGTCATCAAAGTTTACCTAACGCTTTTTTGCTAATAAATACTTACAGAAAAAAGATACAGCCGTGCAAATGGTCTCATTGTGTTCAGCTCGTCAAGGCGCATCGAATGATATACATGATGACCTTGAACTCACGCAACCTTGAGGTCAAGCGACCTGAGGTAACGTGACCTGAAGCAAACCTTTGACCTTGACCTCTCGAGGTCAACACATACATGTTTCGATGCGGAATGACGAGAGAATTACGGTGGTACTTTTAATTTTGGCCTAGCTTGATTACTTCAAAAGCTATTCGTAAAAAACTGTCATCGCATCTGGAGCCGCTATTTTGACTATTTTCGACCCCTGTGACGGCTGAGCCAACCTCCAAAATGCCACCAAAATGCTTCAAATGCGTCGTAGGAGACGCGTCATTGCTGAACGTGAAGCTGACTCGCCTATAACAAAAATCATGGCCTCAAACTAACACCGGCCAAATTGCCCCACACCCCCGGCCAAATAACCCTGCTAGTGGGGCAATTTGGCCGCTTTGCAGACCTTTGTAATACGTCACAATTTCAATATAAGTAGTTATTCTATCATTTCAAGTTTACTGTCCACGAAAGTAAAATGTATGCCACACCTGTCAGCGTTGAGAAAATGCAGAAATGTGTTGTCGATTTTTAGTTACATCGTTTTCTAAAAAAAGCGGCCAAATTACCCCACTCTCCCCTATGCTTTTTAGTTTTTACCAGCACTTCGGCTAATTACAGCTGCTCGATACTGATTCACACGAAGGGCAGTCGGCTGGCCTAATTACGGCGCACTAATTACCGTGTTGCAGCCATTCCCTGGGCTGGGGTTCGCTGTACCGTCCACCGTCGGGCAGGTTTCAAAAGCGCTGCCCGTTCCAGTTCTCCCCTCGGTCTTTGTCGTCTCAGATAAGAGATGTGCCGAGAGCTCTTATATCTCCCGCCGGCTATGCGGCGTACTGTGATCCGGCCCATTGCTGAAGCGCTGACACAGAAAACAGTGTTACGCCACTGTTATTGGGCTATCTCGTCTTACTGATTGGGGCATCAGAAACATCAAACATGTACCGATTACCGGTCACCACACGATTCCTTGCACGGGCTGGTCTCAGGTAGCACCATTCGGACGTTGTGTGAACATCCAGGTAATTACGACCTATTAATTCGTCAAGCGATGCTATTAGCAAACCCCCATGAATAGCATTTCGTCTATAACGTCGAGCCATAGGTGTAAAAAACGACGGCGTCGGGATGCGACCACTATATATCTTGGTCTATGGCTGCATATAATATTGATCAGATTTTTAACTAAGCACATATATATTCCGGACCAGGCAAGCTCCCACCTTTCCGTGCTTCTCGCACCATTCAAAAGCCGGTAAGCCTACACGGAGAAAAATAATTACTCCCCCCGGGAATCACGATCCCCTATTTGGGAATCAACTGACACCCATGGTGTAATCCGATTCTGAAAAACAGTGTCCATACACCGTTTTTTAGTGTAAATTGATCTCGGTCAGAATCACATACCCAAGGGTCATTTGACTCCCAAAATTTTGACTCCCATTTTAGGTGTCGTGTCAAAAGACCCTGCACGGTGTCAGTGTAAAATAACACATCTAAGCGTTTTTTGACGCTATCATAAGGAGTTTTTATATCCTATAGGTGTCATTTCACACAGTTGAGCGTTTTCGCAATCAGTGACTCCCTTATTAGGTGTAATTTGATCGTCAGTGGTGTCATAATATTCCGTTCAAATGACTTATTGAGTGTAATTTGACCCACGGTAGTGTCATAATATTCCGGTGTCATTTGAGCCCCATTGGGTTCAAATGACACCGGAATATTATGGCACCACTGAGGGTCAAATTACACCTAATAAGCGAGTCACGGATTACGAAAACGCTCAACTGAGTGAAATTACACCAACTAGTATCAAAAAACACTAAATTATTACAGAAATTGTTTTGACGTCACTGGTGGTAGGAACCAACACTGCAGAGTCAAGAGATTTTCGGTGAATCAGACTCCGAATCCAGCTCCGGCTTCCAATATAGACTCCGACTCCGACTACGGCCAGAACTGTCGTTTCCAACCGACCGCGACTACGGCCAGAACTGTCGACTCCAACGGACTCCGACTCTGACTCCGTAACCCTGGTGTAGGTTCAGTGGTTTGAATCAATGCCCCGAAAGACGTCATGTGTGAGCTAGCCATGGCTGGTCCGCTACGAAGATGAAATAGGCAATAGCCCAATCAGCAGGCTGCACTGTCAATTTGTGGACGAAGATTTGCGAAAAAAAATGCGAGACGAAGAAATGCGGAGACGAAGAAATGTGCGGACGAAGAAATGCGAGACGAAAAAATACGGAGACGAAGAAATGCGAGACGAAGAAATGCGAGACGAAGACATGCAAGACGAAGACATGCAAGACGAAGACATGCGAGGCGAAGAAATGCGAGACGAAGAAATGCGAGACGAAGAAATGCGAAACGAAGAAATGCGAGACAAAGAAATGCGCGGACGAAGAAATGCGGGGACGAAGAAATGCTCGGACGAAGAAATGCGAGACGAAGAAATGCAAGACGAAGAAAGGCGGAGACGAAGAAATGCGCGGACGAAGTTTTGCGGACGAAGAATTGCGCGACGAAGAAATGCCATGCAAAGATTTGTCCGGATACGCTGCAGTATCAATTGATTTTCGATGACCCAGACTCCGACTCCAGCTCCGGCTTCCAAAGTCGCCGTCGACTCCGACTCTGACTCCGGCCACAACTGTCAACTCCACCCGACTCTGACTCTGACTCTGTAACCCTGGTGCGAACCACAGCTCAGGTCCAGTGGTTTGAGTCAATGCTCGGCCAATCAGCAAGCTGCATTGTCGTGTGACGTCATTTGTGTCCTAGCCATGGCGGTCCGCCACGAAGATGAAATAGCTCGACCTTGCAGGAAAACCGTTAGGAAAGCCGTTGACTTCAGTTGCCGGAAGTGTGCCCACGTGGGTGCGTGTGGTGTGAGCGGGCAGAGGAACTTATTTGAATTAACGCACTTTTCATGTCGCCAAACGTTGTTTAAAGTGTAGATTTACTTCAAGTAATAGTGCTTTAACGATAAACTTCAGATATTATTTGTACTTCGCTCAACATGCGTATTTAAACAACGAGGCGCCCTGCACTCGGCGAAATTTTGAAGTAGGACAAGATAGCAACGCACCATGGAGACTGAGGTAAGTTTTTATGTCATTAAGCTGCAGAATAACTCTACCTAAGTAAGTAGCAATAATCACCGGTTGATGGAACATTGTTGAAATGTGAGTAATTCCTTACGGTGAATTGAGTCACGGACCCATGAGTCTTACGATAAGTTTTCATTATATTTCGCCATACATTTCGTGCCCAAATGTTTTGGAATTTATTGTTGCATATAAAATAAAGAATGACATGCATGTATTGTTAATTTGCGTCACGTGGTTAACAACTGCAATTATGACTCTGTTGGAGAGTGTATTTTGATCCCATAAGGTGTATGATTCCGAGAATCATTTGACAATATCTGGTATAAAGACTGATTGAAAAGAAGACGTCATCGTCAATAGATAAAATTGTAGCTGCAAGGGTGAAGACAATTGTAAGCTACATTTAAAGTCTCGTTGCAGTCTGGCTAATCGTTCCTATAAGCTTCAGAAGCAGTACATACCCATGGAATCAGACACTTCCTAGAGTATTATGACTCTGATTTGGGGTGTATTTTATACCACATGTCGTCAAATGATTCCCGGAATCATACACCGTGTGGGATCAAAATACACCCTCAAGATCCGATTACTCCCTGAAGTGACACCTAAAAGGGGTGTTTTTTTAAGCGTACCAAAAACGCGCAGTTTCCAGGAGTCAGATTACACCCGGAATCAGACACTTCAGACACTTCCTAGAGTATTATGACTCTGATTTGGGGTGTATTTTATACCACATGTCGTCAAATGATTCCCGGAATCATACACCGTGTGGGATCAAAATACACCCTCAAGATCCGATTACTCCCTGAAGTGACACCTAAAAGGGGTGTTTTTTTAAGCGTACCAAAAACGCGCAGTTTCCAGGAGTCAGATTACACCCGGAATCAGACACTTCAGACACTTCCTAGAGTATTATGACTCTGATTTGGGGTGTATTTTTATTCCATAAGGCGTATGATTCCGGGAATCATTTGACGACGTACGGTGTAAAATACACCCTCAACCAGTGTCATAATACCCTAGAAAGTGTCTGATTCCGGGTGTAATCGGACTCCAGAAAACTGCGCGTTTTTGGTACGCTTCAAAAAACACCCCTTTTAGGTGTCATTATTTTTTTTCAGTGTATCTGTGCCCATTGGCCATTATTCTCTATCACATGCCGAGAGATTTATTGAAAACGCAGATATTTCAGCGTGTTAGCAAACATCATCATTGAATGACTCAGCAAGTTAATTGAGACATGAGTGGGTGTGTTTGCTCCCGGGGTTCGTATTTCGCAAATCCCACTCTAGTCGTCGGCGATATAATCGGTCGATGCTGGTCACAACACAGCAGAATGTTTAAATGAGGCAGAATGGGGGGGGATCTCGGCCAAAATCAGGCCATAAGAAAAAAAAACTGACACAGTAACCATTACGCGAAGATCAATGGAAAGTGGTATAAAGACAGGAAGCATTCACATGCACCGATACTTTCTAAAGGGCTGACAAAACCTATCACATCTTCCGTGTAAATGTCGAAACAGCTGCTCTCTATACAGCAGACCTTTGTCGGAACTGGAAGAGCCGGACATAAATCACTATGTCACCGGGCAGGGCGAGGGCACGGCTGGGCCTCTGAGCGATCATGATACTCAGGGGGATAGACCCTCTCATGGTGAACAGATCTCAGAGCGAAGGGAGCGGCACAGTGGACAGATCGGGAAGGCACCCTTCGAACCATGGCGACACTCCGCACTGGTCCGGTCTCAAAGATATCACCCACATCGGTCATCGCCAGATTCCTCCCGTCACTGCTCTCTGGCCAATCGTGACCTGAACCGGACGATCGGGCATCCCTTCCCTGGGGTCGTGATGCTCCTGGGCTCTGGATCACGGGTCACATGAATGATTTCCATGTTGCAGATATGCGAAAATGCAATGTCGCGATTGTATCGATCTAGGTATTTTTGTATCGTGATGTTGACACAATTTTCTGAGGGTGAATTGCGATCCACTTTGTTTACGCCAACAGAGATCAGAGCTGGAAGGAGACCCCTTTCTCATTGTTCTGTGCGATCATACTCTATTAGCACTGTTTGCCGCTTGGCTGATGTGCCTTGGAAACTGGGGAAGGCTGCAGAACGCACAATTGCACCAGTGATTTGATTTCAACATCACTGCACCAGGGCACAAGCACGGAAACAACGGGAGTGGATGGTGAGATCTTGTTCATGAATTAGACCGTCACACCCCGAAGTGGAGAGTCTCGATGTGACTGCAGCCAGGTGCAACGATCAGCATTCGTGACCGATAACACAACTGTCACTTTTGTCGTCATGACTGTCTGCTCGTGTCTGCGCCATGATTCGTGGGTGTGAAAAGTCTCACAATTAACCGGGATGTCTCACAGGTAAAATGTTTCGAACTGTGGCCACTGGCTAGCCTGTTATCTAAGACAGTTTACTTAAGTAGCTCCACCAAATAACTTTCAGGTAGCTGTCACAGATAAGATTGCATGATTTTGATGCAAACTCGGCTTTGACAAACACGGCATCTCCTTATGTTTGCCGCAAAAATTTACTTTGTAGCCAAAATGATACAATCTGTACAGTAGATTAAATATTTCCTGTTATCTTGAATCCCCAGGCGATGAGAGTGGGATTGTTATTACCTCAGTGGCATCGTTATACCTCAGTGGCATTGTTAGCCTCAGTGGCATTGCTATCCATCTAAGCACCTATTCTTTTTTATCCTCCCGGTTCAGTGACTCAGGATCCCATTTTCCGTGTCGTCTACATGTATTGCTCTCCATCAAGGTTCAGACATAGCCCTGCGGGCTTCTATGTCGTCATAGGGTACTCGGCGCATATCGCCATGAACGGGTTGGGCTCCGCTTACGAGATTACTACCGCCCTGCTGGTCTTAAAGTCTGTCTACGTCCCTTCCGGGCACTCCTTCCTCTGTACAATAAAAACTCGGCCTTTAGACGGAGAAAGAGACCGCCGGCCCGTGTGTCATGTCGATTGATGAGCAGGGGTATGGGATGGGGTAAGAACTCGCCTGCCGTCACCCCGCTGGAGGGACACATTACTCGAGTTCGGCCGACCGGCCCTGCCCGGCCGTATTTTACGGCAAATGGACCCGAACTGTCGGCGACGTAATCGGCGCGGTTGCGATACCTGGTTCTGAATTCGGCGCACTGGACTGGAATCGGCCGGGGTCCGCACACGACGGAATTGGCCAACCGCCGCCCGGGCGCCCCTGTTCGCTATTTACAACTGACAGCGACGAATGTCACGAACGACGCTAGCCGAGTGAAATCCAGAATCAGCGACAGAGAAGCATGATTGGAGCGCTTCATGAGGAACGTGGATGCGGCAAAATACCATCCTAGAGTTATAAAAAATATCGTCTTCACGTCGAGTAACTGTAGGAATATGATGAGAATGCGCGCTTCCGGATGCTTGTCTCATGCCTGATTTGAATCATAATTGGCGAGAGATATAAATCATTCACTTACATAGCTGATGTGTCACAACTTTGTAAATGTCATTAAGAAAAAAAATGAAATATACTTCTTGCTAGACCTGAAGCCCATTGGATGTCAGGTTTGCAGAAGTATTGCAGGTTCTTTTGCGTGATGATTGAAACCCTTTCATGCCTGCCTTTCCGTCACTTCCTGCTCAAAGAACACCAACAAAGAAAACCACCCGTCGTCATGGTTAAACGCAGTGGTGCGACCGACAAAGCTTCATCACCTGCTTCTGGCCTCTGACGTTATGTCACTACAGCCCGTGACAAAAAAAAAGCGTTCATGGATCATAACAAGTCGAGAACCAATGAACCACAACGACCCGCTTCACTTCACTACCTGCGGGGGCATGAGGCGCTGAATCAGCCAAAATGACACACAATTACCGACATAAATACAGAGTGGTAAGAGGGCAGCGCATCCGTCCATTAGATTCAAACTCTGATGACGTCACAGTTCAGTGGTCAGACGACTGGCGGAGTAATTTCTGCGCTCCACAGCTGGTCGCAAGAGGGAGCATTGTCTGGGCTCGCGCTCCGCTGCCTCACACCGCGCTCTGTCGTCTCGCTCTAGAGAAAATCGTCACGGTAAGTGACCCTGCACTGAGCTGGGTCACTGCACTGACGTCATCGGAGGCACCATACGTCATCACGAGCACCGGGAGAGCGGCGGCGGGGCTGGGATGACGCGGCTCGGCCGACCGCTGCCGTACCGGTCAATGTATGCCACCCCCACGGGGAAAGGTGGTCGGTGGCGCTGCTGTGGGTGCCATGATGACGGCCCTGGGAGAGGGAGAGGAGGTAACAATCAGAGCAGGAGGAGGGACGGGAGCCACGAGGGTGTGGTCTGCGTGTCTCTGAGGTAACGCCTGTCCGGTATCATGCTGTGAGATGACGGTCTACGCGAGATTAAACTACCGAACACAGAACCCCCGGGGTGGGGATAATAACGACAGCCAATGTGACCAGGTGATTGCGTGGAAGGAGAACTCTTCAGGTATGGCATGGGATTGCCAATAATGAGTTCAGCATTGCGCAAGCATGCACCGGGTTAGGACAGGGGCCTTGGACAAGGTGAGCTTTTTATCTCGAGTATACGGGAGAGTAGGATGTCAGTTGCCGGTAACCAGGGCTAATCGGCCAAAGCAATTTCGTTGAGTGAGTAGGTTAAAATCAGGAGGCCAAACCGTCAACACTACAGGTCAAATCTGATATTTTGTTCAGATAGGGGCTTTAGCAAGGCCTATGAAATAAAATGTTCTTTTCTTTCGCGGTGTTCTATAGCTTTACAAATCCACGAGCTACGGGTACCTTATTTGTACAAGAATGCCGTAAATCGGGAAAATTTGAATTTAGATGAACTATGGTGATCTGACCTTCGACCTGACCGAAAATAGGTTGAAATAATAACTTGACAATTCTTATGCATGCAAATGGCTTTCAGAAGCTGAAATCGCGCAATTCATCGGATAGGTAGGT